ATTTCTGCAGGTGCTTCATCATAGCGTCTTCGGCTTCGGTGGATCCCTTGGAGGTGAGGCTACAGCTGGGGTCTCTTCCTGCTCCCAGCAAGGTTTTATAGCCCGAGACTAGACTCCAGGAAACCACAGAAGTCAGACTCATCTGATTAATCTATCTGCAAATTGCATGCCTCAGCGATCTGAGAGGGGAATTCAGTCAGCCTTAGCCTTGGGCATCAACCCACCTTCATTTTGGGCCTGATCTGGGGTATGTGACATCCTTCTAAACCCAGAGCCAATTTTAACCCATTGCCTTTGAGCTGGAAGCTGTAAGGAGCATACCCACCCCGATCACCTTGTCTGCCAGCGCGCCCTTCCGTTGCAGCTTGTATTTGTTGTTGTGCACTTGCAAAGTCTCTTGATTTTTATCACAAACCCTGCAAGAATAAGATTTCTTTCACTCGACGTTCCAGTTCCAAAGACTGTGCAGCGGCAGTTCAGGACCCTCCAGCTCTCAGCAGGTGTAGTCCTGGATAATAGAGCAAAATTGTTGTGAGTGCATCTGTAACACCACACCGGTCATGGTTATGTGAGGGCAAGAAGTTGTTATGGCAGCTTCGTGAGCATGGCCCACAGCAGTGTCACCGCTGCTGTTGCCACAAGGTCTCTGTCCAGTACCAGCCGCTGACTTAGGACTCTGCTTTGTACAGCAAAAGATACCATTTTAAGTGTTTCTTTCTAGATGTAATTGTTCACTGTTAAATTGGGGAGTTCGGTGTCTCTACCAGCCAGTGTGAGAGAAGACAGGAGGACACTTCCTTGACCCTGGGTCAGGGGCTCACTTTCCCTCTGATGTGTTGAGGGTGGATGGAGACGGGGATGCAGGTTTGGGATTCTGCCCCTTCTCTGGTTAGAGATAACCTGGTGACACATCTCCCTGAAGCTGGTTCTGTTCCTCTGGGAAGGGTCATGTCCAGGTGTGTCACAGCCAGCGCTGCCCCCACCCTGCCAGGCACTGATTTTTAAATGCCAAACAAGTGCCAGGTGCCTTTCTGCAGTGCATGGCGGAGATCTGTCTTTCCTAGACCAGGCCCAGTGGCAACTGCACCTCCTCATCCTCCAGCCTGTGGTGAGAGGGACCGTGTTGGAGGAAGGGCTGGTGGCAAATCGCTGAAGGCACTCCCCCCACCCCTGGCCCCTGGGATGTCCCTTGCCTCCCCCGGCACCAGTGCATGGCTTCGGCAAAAGGTGGAAGCGGTTCCTTCCTTCGGCTGTGACAAAATGGGACTGATACGTCCTTGCTGCCCTCACTGACTGCCGGTAAATTTGCTTTCCTATCTGCCCCCAGTGCCACAGAGCAAACCCCATTTTTAAGCTAAAAAACCCTGCCATTCTCGTGCAAAGACTGCAGTAGCTGGAGCTTCAAGGAAAACCGTGACGTGACAAAGGTTTGTACTACTCAGATAAGCAGCTGCAGCCTTTTCACTTGCAGATCTCCTAGCTGATAGCAGCTGTCAGCAGAAGCCCAAACCATGGACCCTTCTCAGTTTCCCCAGGGTAGCATGGGTGCTGAAGGCAAGGGTGACAGTTTCCCTTTGTCCCAGGCAAGACCAGGGAGAACATAAGAGCAGACATCCAGGGCCAGACTGCAAGCAATCTCTTCCCTCTGACAGACGTGGCTAGTGAGAGCCACAGAAAGACTATGAGAACAGGGCAAGCACCTCGTTCCCTTGAATTGCATATAGTTTCTGTATGTTTAAAATTTCCCACTGGGTTTCCCCACCGCAAACCAGTCTGGTCTCCTCTTGAACTTGCACAGGCATCTGTCACCCTGCACCAGGGAGTTCTGCAGCTCAGTTATCTACCAATGCACTGTCTCTGCCCCTTGTCATCTCCTCCAGGAAAGTGTCTAGCACTCTCCTGTCTGTATATGAGCGACACCATCAGAAACTAGCTGAAACAAAGACGACTAGGGCTCAGAGTTTAGGCAGGTTGTTTTGCACCCATTGCAGGCCATGGAAGGAGGGGCTGGTGCGACTTATTCAGCCTCTAGTTCAAGGGCTGTCTGAAAATGGTGCTAGAGCATCCTTTGTGGGGAGGAGAAGCTTGCCTCTGAGCATCACCTGGCTGAGGGGAGAGTCATAAGCCCTCTTGGTTTTGTGCTACTGTTAGAACAGTCTCTGCGCACGCTGTACTGCTGGGGCTGGGCTTGCCTTTCTGAGGGACAGAAACATGCCAATAGGCTCCAAGGCAGACAGCTCCCAGCTAGGACTTGCCCTTGCCTTCTCCAGGGAAAGCGTTGGGTTCTCCCGCTATAGCTGGCATGGAAGGGAAGGAGGAAGTGGCATGGCATCAGGTGCTTTTGTGAACCCAGTTCCTTTACCAACCCTTTCAGTACAATCCTTTCAGAGACTATATCAACGTCTCTACTGAGGGCTGTTCAGGAGATGGAGGACTGTGGCTGCTGGACAATGGCAGAGGCAAAGACTGAAAGCACTGGTGCGCAACAGCTGGGATTTTGAGTATGTCTCCTCTCTGGGAGCCTAAGACCTGTCTGTGGGATCTCAGCCACCACCTGCCCTATGCCCATGGCGGGGCGGGGAGGGGGGAGCGTAGAAACAGCACAGTCCACAAAAAATCCAGCTCACTTCACTTGCTGGAGCCTCTTACAGCTAAGACAGCTGAAAAGATTAGTCTGGATTCCCCTCTGGCACAGCCTGCTGTCTTGGCTGCCCTACATCCAACATAGGTGCACACAACATCACCCAGGCACGAGGTCCCTGCAGGGGGTACAGTCGTTACTTTGCGGGGAATGGCAGCTTTTGACCCCTGGTACCCGCTGGCACACCACATCCTGGCTGTCAGCTTCTCCCAGGCAGGTGGTGACGTTGCTGAAATTGGTGAACGGAGTGCATGCACATCACTTTTCCCAGCCCATTTCTACCCAGACAGTTTCTCTTCCTGCAACACACTCATCCCCATGACCCCAGGAAGGGCAACTGTAGCTCTTGTCCTCCAAGTCTGCCAGCAATTCAGTGGATGCAGAGCTATGGCTGCCTCTGTCCCCACAGGCTGACTCCTCACTTGTGCCAGCTAGATGCTCCCTCCCTTCTCCCTGGGGCAAGGTACGAGAAAGAAGACATACGCTGGGAAATGCAGCTCCAAGTTTACTGCGGGTGTTTCAAGGGCAGCAAAGTTCAAGCAGGGACAGGGTTAGCTCTGAAGGAAACGGGGTCCGTTGTAGCACAGCCGCTTTCTGGTGCCATCTGGGACGATCCCTGGTTCTGCCAGGGCGATTTAACATGGCCCTGAAGTGGCTGCCT